TCAACGGCACTCCCACACTTTTACTGTTTGATCTACGCTTCCAGTGACCACGTAAGGTGCAGTCTTGTGGAAATCTGGAAGAGAAACCACAGAATTAATAAGCTTATTCTCCACATACAACATTCATGTTCAACCTTCACATGTAAGCAAAGAATGCTTACACGTTTACAGCTGTATGGATATTGTTCATGTGACAGATAACATTGTTTCACTGGAGGACTGTACTTCAAGTACTGAATTTAACTGAACAGAGCATGTTCTATTATTATTATACAAGATTTATATAGCGCATACAGTTTACTCAGCACTCTACAATATAAAGGGAGACAATACAGCAACAGTACAGTTCAATACAAGAGGGATAGGAGGGCCCTGCTCCTTAGCAAGATCACACAGGTATCTCACCTAACTTTGTCCATGCTAGAAGTAAGATGGTCCTCCAGCACACAGAACTCTCTGGTCAGTTTTCACATGTGCATAACGTGGGTTGAGAAAGTGCTCATTTATTACACGGCTTGTAACACTATCTGTGAATGGGGGAGAGTGACCAGCCACAGAATTCTTTCCTTGCATTCACAGATCGTGTTACAGTGTAATCAATGATAGGAGGGGGAGGAGTGTGTCCCTGTTGCACCTTCTCTACTGCTGTTCTGCATGAAGACCCAAAGCTATTAACCACTGCAGCACCAGCAGTTCAGGGACAAGAAGAGGACAGGCATCACTGCACTGAAGATTTCTCCAAGATTCTGCTGACTGCACAATGTGGGACATCCTTCATTACAGGTGATATGACTAGCTAGAAAAAAAATCCTACAGCTTTAATAACTTGTCTGATCCACCTAGCAATAGTAGAGCAAGAGGCAGGGGAAGTCTAATGAGAATTTTTAGGAAGCACAAAGAAGGAATCCGATTTCCTAAAAGATAGCAGGGAGAAACTCTTTAAGGTGCATGCACCACATTCAGACAGTAGAAAGAAAATTTCCTGAGTATGTTCTGGAGCAGGATATAGGGAAGGACAATATCCTGATTAAGGTGGATGACAGGGACCACCCCTGGGAGGAAGAAGGCATTAGACCTCAAGACCACCTGGTTCAACACCAAAAAAGGCTCCTTACAGGATAAGGCCACTAACTCAGATTCTCCTCACAGAGGTGAAAGCTTTTTTATCCATGCTCCTTCATGTGCAGCACCTCCTGCTGATCGGCACAGGATCCCTTCCAGAGCATCTAACAACACCTGGCAATAGACCTTTTCCACACTTCATCCCTATGAGCCTATATATTTTTAAAAGATGCGAGTTGCCCAACTTGCTTTTTAACAATAAATTGTTATACAGTTTACACTTAGAGGCGCTGTGTCCTCTGTTTCTGTGAAAGCCACAAGACAAGGAAAATGTCCCTAATAGTTTCAAAGAGTGGCTTGTACACCTTGAACAAACGCTTTAACAAGAGATTGAGAGGCAAAAGGTGTCTAAAACAAAATGGCCAAGGCTGAGATGTGTGCCTTAATTTTACTGAAAGGCAATTACTGGTCCAGATCGGACTGAAGAAAGGACAGAATACTTCCAGTTGAGTACTTTCTAGGCTGGAAATGCCTCAACCCACACCAAGCAAAGTAGACCCTTGCAGCTTCAGTGGTAGACTTTGTAAAACGACAAGTTCCTAAAACATCAAAAGGGTAGGGATGACAGAATCTACAAGGTCTCTGTCCTTAAACCACCATGTTGTTAACACCAGCTATCTAGAAGAAGGATGAAACATGCCCTTGAGAGAGGGGATACAGAGGGTCCGGAAAGGGCCAAAAAGCATCTGCCATGAGCTTGACTATGTTTGAGTACCATATCGTTCTGGGTCAATCTGATGCATACAAGGATCACTGGAATGCCCATCTTTGTTCTGTAAGGTAGATAGGAGATAATTTGAATGGGCAGAAAGATGTAGACGGGGAAAGCTCAAGGTACCCTGGACCTAATGGCAAAACTGTTCAGATTATTACTGAATCTCTATGTCAGGAGGTCCACATCTGATAAACCCTACTTGTAGAAATTGGCTTGAAAAACCTCCAGGATCCCTAGTGTCCATGCAAGGACATTCAAGAGAGCCCATCTGCTAATTTTCCACACCTGGGATGCAGACAGGGCCAGAATGTGAATTTCTGTCCAAGACCAAGTCTGCTTCCTTATAGCATCGTGATTTTCTGTGCATCTTTAATGATGATTGACGTAAGCCATGGTCGTACCACTGTCAGGCTGTAATCTTGTTGGGTGTCCTCACAATAAAGGAGTATAGCATTGAAAGGACAACTAAAATCATGGTTAAAAGGTGAGCCTCCCTTCAATGCCGAAGTCCCAGGTACTGAGAATGTTCATTACTGTTGCTCAGCTGTCAGGTTAGCACTGGTTGTAAAAACGGTACACAAAACTGTAGAGGGGAAATTCCCCTAATTCCAGCACCAGAAAGAAAATTTACTATGCCAGGGAGAGTCTGCCTTTGTGTTCAGACATATTGGGCAGTTCAAAGACTGAGTGTTTCTACACACAAAGTTCAACTGCAATGGTCTAAAAAATTTAGAGTCTAGTCATACTAGCCAGGCACAAACCTTACTCTTCACCAGTTGCCCCACCCAACCTTGCCCAGGCCCGCCTCCAACTTCCCCTTTAGGGTGGAGCTCCGCTTTAAGGCTAAAGCTGCGAATCCATGGAATACACTTAGTCCAGACCGCAATGGTCTGGAAGACTGCCATAGAACTGCAGGTTGTATAGTAAAGTCTGCCAGGACGAAGAGCCTTAAGGAGGGCCTCTATTTAAAAACAGGACTTTGCTCCACAGGGGCCATGTGGGTCTTGATAAGTTAGAAAAAGGACAGAACTACCAAAGCAATTACCCATTTCCGAAGAAAACTTCTCAATAGGACATTCTTGGCTGAAACATTTTGGGGGGGAAAAAAAAAAAAATTATCTGGATTAGGTCGGTCTCCATATAGGACTTAACCAGCACGTGAACTGCAAAGTTCTTAGATACTGCAAAGAATTTTAGAGGCGACCCATCTTTCCCCTCATGGGTCATCACCTAAATGTCCCCTCTGAAATACTCCCAGCCAACGCAGCAGTGGTGTAGGTGGGATGCCTCTGTGAAAGTACCTAAAGACTGCTCCAACCCAGGATAAGCAAGAGTAAACGGCTATTAATGTACTCTCTGGATCAATAGCCAGGAGATGATGCTCAGCCAGTGCCCTGAATCCAGAGGAGACAGGGCACACACATGCAGTAACCTTCCTCAAAACAAGGCAGTTCATGCGAATAACACACTTGAGTTCAGCCAGGTGCAGTACAGCTCAACAGAGTAGAGAGAAAAGATGCAACAGATCTACCCACCAGGTGCTCTTCAGCAGAGCACCTAAAACTAGTGTCAAAGCCATTAACCACAGCCATCCTCAAAGGTCTGATTGTGTGACCATTAGGGTTTACACCAGTCTCTGTACACCCCAAAAGGGGAATCAAATAGGTACCCTAGGTCAAGTCTTGAAATTTTTACTTGTCTGCTCGCATTGGCGAGTGGAAATTATGGTGGGGGCGAGTGTGTCCCCAGGGCCGTCTTGCTGAGCAGGCTTAGAACTCAGGGCCAGATCTGTCACTCGCACTGGAAGCCGTCAGACTGCTCAATAGTTGAGCAAAGTAAAAGCAAAGGAAGGAGTGTGCTGTGCTCTATGCCTCCCCTCTAGAGTGCAGTATCCGGCTCTGTGAGTGAAGGTAATGAAGTACTGCAACTTTTTTATAGGGCAGTGTGTGTATGTACATGTGTGTGTATGTACATGTGTGTGTATGTATGTATGTATGTATGTATGTATGTATGTGTGTGCGCGTGTGTATTTACATGTATGTATACGTGTGTTTGTGTACACACGTGTCTGTATGTAAACCTACATGTATGGGTGGTTTAGTTAGGTTCAGGATTATGTTATTATGGGTGGTAGAGTATGGGGCATTTGAGGTATTGCTGGGTTGGACAGTAGGTAAGATATGCTTGGTAGAGTTATGGTTTTGTGAGTGAAAGATTATGGGGGGTTATGGTTGTATGCGGTGCATGGTCTAAGTATGATGGAGTGTTTAGGGGGACATTGGAGGTTCTGATGTAATTTGGGTAACATTTAACAGTGTCATTTCATTAAATAATTTACGAGGGTGTGTTTAGGGGCGGAAATAGGGGTGTAGCAGGGTAGGGGTTGGGTGGGGCAACTGGTGGCATGAAACTCTTAAGGCCTGGCTAGTAGCTCAGGACTTGAAATTTTAAGCCCTGCCCTAGGTGAATATTTAAAGCACTTCTACCCTGTCCTCACCAACTTCAGGTGCAGGAATAAGAAGGATTTAATCCCAATCCTGGCTTTGCTCTTCAAGGTGGGCAAAGTCCAACAGCACACGGCAAACATTAGCTCTGGACCTGTAATGCCCCTTACCAAGGCCACAGGCTATGGGGCAGACAAGTGATAAAAGCATTCAGAGAGAGATCCATAAAAAAACCTTAATTGAAGAACGTACGCTTCGTAGTACAGAGAAGAGGTACATAAACAAAGGACTATCAAAAAAACTGACACTAAGAGTGGGTGGGGTGTTATAGTGGATGTCCCTGTAGGCTATTTTCCCCAGAGTCCAATCACCTGAAGGTAGCTGCATATAAGCCAGTTGTGAGTTTGTGCATAAGTTCATTTTTGTAAAAATGAACTTAATGCACACTTTTTTTGCAGGTAAAAAAAAAAAAAAATTATGTGCATCATGTTTTTGTTAGGACCCTGTAAAGCATTGTACCCACAATAAGCAGATCATGGGTGTAATGCAAGGGTTCTGCAGACTGTCCGTGCAGCTGTCTGCCTGTACCTCCAATACAGGCAGGCAGTTACACGACAGGGAGCTCATTGAGAACTACAAGCTGTCGGCTGCAAAGACTATCGAAACTTTAGTTTTCCTTTTCGCAGAATACAGTGAATGAATGATGCGGCTGTGCGGAGCTCCGCATGGCTGTTTTTATTTTCAGATCACCTTGATTCTAAATCTTAAATGACAACTGGGTAGTATGGCTCACAATTTTAAAGTGTTACTAAATCCAGGACCCTCCATTCACTCTATCTGGTCTCCCATAGTACACACAACATGGAAATGTAATTATTTTATTTAATATAAATTGCTAAATACCTTTTCTCATCAGCAGTTGGAGCAGTCTTGTGACTTCTATCAGTGTTCAAGAGAGTACTGGTTAAAGCTTGTAGGAGTTTTCTTTCTGCTCTAGGAGGATGCAGAACCCCTGACCTCTGTCTGGACAGTGCAGATTGGCCCTGTGCTGATCACATGCACACTCCCAAGGAAAAAAAAAATAATACCTCTCTAGCAATGCACACAAAAAAGATGCATATGCCAAATGTCTCCACAGGATCCTGTCTTATCAGGAGATAAGAGGAGGGCACTGGAAGAAGGGGAGGATCAGAGAAGTCAAGCTCAAACATCCTTTTTGCAGAGGATTAACCCCTACTCCACAGTGAGTATATCAAGCATGCTTTACTGAAAATAAAGACTGATTTTACTGTTGTTGGTTTAGTAACACTTTAAAAAGGGTCAGAGATACTGGCAGGAATTTCACTTGAGAGTATAGAAACCCTATGGACCATGGAATGATCTAAAAGCCGGTCAAAAACTCCAGGTTAGCACTGCAATCTTCCATTCAGGTGGGGTCCAAGAACCTCAAATGCGGTTGCTAAGGATATGCAGATTCATACAGCTGCAGTGCAGAGACTGGCTCAAGCAGCATTATTGAAATCTTAAGTCACAGAAAAAAAATTAAAAGGATAGCAAAGCTAAAGGAAAAGAATCCAACTTCCTGGGACACTAATAAAATGAAAACTGAGGCATGAGGATAGGGTAGAGGTAGGGTGATACAATAGCTGGCTTTCAACCACTTTTTCTGTTTGCCAAACCTCTGGTAGGCAACAACAAATAACCCACGGATGAACAAGTGTAATATACATTCTTTGAAGAGCTTGTAAAAGATGCAATAATGATAAAACATTTATCACCATAAACACTTACCCAAAGAGGTAACAAAGTGTTCATGCGCATTCAAGGTTTTCATGCAGCGCTTGTTCTTATAGTCCCAAATACGTAGGTTTTTTATCATCAGCACAGCTCAATATAAATTTCCCACCTGGGTGAAACATGACGCCACGTACCCAGTTATCATGGCCAACCTATGAAACAATGGTCATTATTTTATGAGGTCAGAATATTATATCTTATCAGCATACAGTATATAGTATTTACATTTTACTATCTTGCATTATCCAAGAGCAAAAGTATAATAGCATAATTTCTCCTTCTCCTAAGAACATAAAGGCGGTAAAAGCAATTAATTTCTCCTCTCTGGCTGCATTCTTGCAGCCATTGAGAACTGTGTGAGCTGAGATTGGTCACAGCTTGTCACATGGTACAAGGCTGTTGTGAATAGCCTTGTACCATGTGACCTCTGTAATCATTCACAGATTTCACAGGTATTAAGTAATGTCAGAAGTGACATCTTGCTTACTACTGTGCATGTGATCACTGATTGGCCAATCAGTGATCACAAGATTGGGACCTCACACAGAGGTCCCAATCAGTGATCACATGATTGGGACCTCACACAGAGGTCTCGTACGACGATTGGTGTTCCACTGTGTCCGGAGGACAAAGCAGGCACCGGATCGCGGTGCTGCGCGCTCTCAGGCAGCACGCACAGTTCAAAATGGTGGGTGCCGCCAAACCCGCCCCTGGACTGCCGGACAGAAAGTGGTTAAATAACAAACATGTCATATTTACCTGCTCTATGCAGTTTTGCACAAAGCAGTCCCTATCCTCCTCTTCTCATTTCCCGGCTGGCGCTCTTGGCCCCTCCCTCCTTCTGAGTGCCCCAGAGCAAGCTCGCTCCCGAGCCGCTGCTCTGTGTATCCATTCACAAACAGAGCTGGGGCTTGGCCCCACCCCCTCTCTTCCCTCATTGGATCACTTGCTGTGACAGACAGCATTGGGAGTCACTGGCTATCACTCAGCCAATGAGGAGGGAAGATCCCCAGAGGCTCTTCATGCACATTGCTTGGGTAAGTATTGGGGTGGGCTGCAGCACACAGAAGGATAGAATATCCTTGAAAGCAACAGAATGCATGAAATCAAAAAACCTTGAGTGCCCATTCACATATACGTTTGAACAGCATCCAATCCGCATGACTTATGAAATAACACTGCTTCCTATGGCGCCTGTTCACACATTTCCGGTGCCCTGCCGGTGCGGTCCAGTTCAAGTATGGAATACAGGCTATTGATTTCTATGGGAACAGTTTCTAAACCTGACGTGTGAACAGGATAAGATCCTGAGCTGATCCTGCCCTGAAACGGATGTAAACCTGACCTGAACCGGTGAACAGCTACTGTGTCAATTAGCTGTAAAACCTGAGCTTCAATCCGCACCGTACATGTGTGAAATGGCTCTCAGCCTTTACAAAAACTTCAACATACTTTCATCAGAGTAATTCTCTAGGGTAAGGGGTGATCAAGAATTTTTTTTCTTTTTATACTTTGATGTTACAGTAATGATCACTGTAACAGCAATGCTTTTACCGTCATGAATTGGTTACAATGGTTGTTACTGTTGTGTGCTGTGACTGACCCACAGCTGTCACATGGAACAAGGTACTGCGACTGGCACAGGTACCATGTGATAGTCGTGGGCCAATCACAATGTCAACCAAGATATTATGAATGAATTTAATGACAGCTGTGATCATGTTATCACATAGCAATTACACGATCCCCTGGCAGCGGCAATCTGCTGTGTCTGTGATCCAGTCTGCCCGTGCTACCCTGCCGCAGTAAATTTACTGTGGCTGGGCAGCAACTGGTAAAAAAAAAATTAACCAATTGTTTAACTCCTTTCTCTGGTCATCTTCCCATTCTAGAAATGGAATGCAAACACTTGGTGGCAAGGTGGCTTAGCACTGACTGACCTATAAAAAAGCTGGTTAGATGGTATTTGTCAATAGATGATTGCTCTGGGATGATGGGGAAGCCACCACTGTATTAGACACTGAACTCCTGGGGAACTATAAGGCCCTATGCTTTTTTTCCCCTATATGGGATTGTAGGCAATCCTATCACAGCCTTTATAGGTGCCACGGTTTGAACATGGTGGCAGGTCGGTAAGCAGGGCTTCTGTATCCCTCAGGGGCTAAGCCCTCTCCATACTCCCAGCTACAGTATAACCCTCAGTTCCCACCTGACCCGGAGATTACTGATTTGGCAAATTTGGGCTGCCAAGGAGGTCAAAACCCCTGGAGATATTTTACAAGGTGGTAGGTTTATGACATATGAGGACCTGAAAGATCATTACACTCTGCCCAATTTCTATCTTTTTTGATATTGTGGGATATACTTATATACATACTTGGTTAATGCTAGAGATCATGTAATCAGAAATCACTTCACTGCCTGTAAAACGTGCAGTAGTATATCCATCACTCATCTGTTTGCATTGCACTCAATTACCCGTTAATTTTACCCATACTTTTGGCAATGTCCACAATGCTGGACAGGGGGTTACCTAATTTTATAACTGAAGTTACTTTGCCTATCTGGAAATCTATCTTGGCTTGTTTACTAGGACTGGTGGAAGGGGTAGCCTCCTCAACAGCCCCTAGGAGTCCCCTAGGTATACTCTTGTTCTTTGCCTGCAAAGCTATTATAGTGCACTAGAAGAAATTGATGGCACCCTCTTTGGTTAATTCAGCACTAACATTTAATAAGGCCGCCTCATAAGTCAAACCTGCCCATCTAAAACTGACAAGATATGGAACTGCTGGCTTTCTAAAATCAATTCCAATCTATAAGCACATGATATAGTGGCTAACTTTTCAGTTGGATCAGAATGACTAAGAGTCACTGCTTGCTGAGTGTATACCTGTTGGATATATGTGTCATACCGTAGTACCATGCGGTTTGGTGCAGCACGTTAAAAATAGTGCAAGCATTATTATTTTGTACGGCCTGGTGCATTTTGGAATTGTACTGCAAGGAAATCGCATAGGAATGCACGGGTTTGAATCAGCTTGTTCCCAGTGTGAGCCAGCCCTTAATAAATATCTAGTCAGCAAAACAATCGTGATGATATTGCTGTGGACACAAAACAATTCAAAACACAATTTCCACTTGGATGGCAATAAAAGATACGAATTGAACTGCTTGCTTACACTTGCTATAAAACAATTAGAAATTATTGCAAAGAGATTTGTTAGACTCACAAGCGTCATTAGGCACATGCCAGTACTGATATCCCACATCTTAATAGTCTTATCTCTGGAACCGGACAGCAAAAAAGGTCCAGGCTTACCGCTCTTCTTGGTCTGTGAGGAGACAAAGATTAGATATGATATTATAAACATCACGATAGGGAAAAAATCCCCAAAGCACAGGCTACATAACAGTAAGTAAAATACAATGCTTGAAGCAAAACAATTGAAATCTAGACACTTAAGCACCACTGTCCGCAACAGAAGCAAACCACTTACAAACACCCATTTAATGACAATGAGTTTAATAAATACTCAAGGTTTAGATCGGTACGGTCTCGCCAAAATCAGCCGATTTCTGTAATCAGTCCATTTAAAACATTTTTAAGCTGGGTACACATTCCTGAACTGGCTGACATTTGGACCACGTGAACAGCTGTCCTTCTGACAGAAGCCGGTCAAAACGTGTTTGGGGAGGGCTGTTCCTCAGAGTGCAGTGCAAATCATCTGAACAGTATATGTTGCTTCTAAGGTGCTTCGCACTGCACTCAGCATAGGAGCCAAGTGAATGTTCACATTATGAAACTACTGGTTGTAAACTTAAATAAAACCCATAGGCACAGTGTGGTGTGCCTTTAGCTTTGCTGGGCATAGACTGAGTTAGACAGGCTAACGCAGACACAGGAAGTGAACCCACAACATAGAAGTTGCCACTGCTGATCTTGCCTTCTAGATGTTTTCTTTCCTTTTACACTGATGTGCTTTTGTGCAGCTTAAGGGTTGTTTCACACTGATGCCCTTTTGATGCATTCCCATTGACTTACTATGGAAGGTGCCTTTTTGGCGAGTTTTGAATAACTGTACCAATATGCAGCATGCAGACTTTAAGGGCAGCGCACCTACAGTTTAAACAGTTACATAGTATTTTATGTGGAATAGTTGCAAGCCCTTTTGTCACCCTGGAAAATCATGGCAAAAGCACACCAGTGTATAAGTAGAATGCATGTAGGTTAAAAAGCTTGAGTTTTTACAACCTCCTTAAAGCATAACTAAACTCAAACAACAGTTTCTTTTGTAACCCCTCCCCCCTATCCCTCAATGGATCAACTTGAGTACAATCAGCCTGCCTATACATGGATCGAAACTCAGTTGGTCCCTGCTGAACCATGTATGGCCAGGCTTTGTTCTATTCTTTACCATTTAAAGCCGTGTTAAACCCCCAAAGCAAACATTAACTATACTGCAGCTTACCAATTCTTAGCTGTGGTATCAGTTTCCTTTTCTGGTGACCCAGCCAATAAGTCTGTTTGGCAACAGAAAAGCGCTCTTGTACTTACAAGGACAAGACAAACCATTTAACACTGGCAGGGGTGTTTAAAAATGTGCAGCTTTTATTTATGTAAAACCTTAATCAAAAAAAAACTATTAGCTGGAGTTCAACTGCCATTTATTACTCTATTTAAATCTGCTAGTACTAACACTCCCCTCCCCCCAGACTGCCAATGCTGTTGTCCAAATCTGTCCCTTGTGGTTCATTTATCCAGAATGGTGTCTGGCCAGTAACACAATCGAATGATTGGTAAGCTGTAATATATTACATTTTTGGTCTTTGATGCTAAACTCAAGGATTTCAACAACTTTGTAAAAAGTGCAGGCATAAAGTCCAACGAGGTAAATGCCACGTCTACATCTGACAGGTTTACTCTGCTCCAGGAAAACAGTTTCCACAGCTCTGACACTGGACACTTTGGTCTCCACACCGTCAAGTGCATAGTCGATGCAGCTACTATGCCCCCGCCGCCTCATTCAAGAAGTCTTTGTATTATGAGAACTTTAAAAAAAAAAAAAATGAAAAAGGCTTCTGTGAATGGGCAGCAGAGGGGAGGGGCGGGCATAGCTGTTGTGTGCTTCCCCCCTCTCAGAGCTCAGTAACTCCCCTAGGAGTGCCATAAAACTTGGCTGATGTAAATTTTAGATATATGTCTAGGAAGTGGCATACACCTCATTGGACTTAACTCATAGCATGCCTGTGCTTTTTTTCAAAATTACTGAATTCCTGGAATTCAGCTTTAATTGCTTTTTGTGCTGCATGGCATTCATTGTGCTGCTGGTATCTGGCCTAGGACAGGCCCCACTGCCTCCTGGGATTGCTACATCACAGCTATCCCACGAGGCAGTGGGTTACTAAGCTGCAACTTTGTGGCATATGTGTGGTGGCCCACTTCCCACCCCTGGGATGTGGACAGCAGAGATCACTGGACAGTGCATTACTGTTCAGAAAAAACTTTCTGATTTGCTTCCTTCAAAGCTGCATGACTCCTTGTGCCTCATTGATGCTTGATGTAGGCCACATCTACTGCACCCTGATTGGGTGTCCTCCCAGACTCTAGGTCCAACGTTGTAGAGCCAACCACGCTGCTTTGAGTGCCACGATGCTGAGGAGAAGCTTCGCTTCCACTAGTGATCATGTGCCCATGAGAGACTAAAAAAACTAGAACCTGTCATCACTTTTCAGTGATCAGGAAAAAAAAAAAAAAAAGAAAAGAAGAACTCCCTATTAGGGCTGGGCTTGGCTTGAGGTTCACCAAAAGAAGGAGTTCAGTACATGGCTGGACAAGAGCATGGGTAGGTCGAGAGAAGGAGTATGTCTGTTCCGGGTCAACAGAATTATGTTTTGGAGAGAGCTTTATTGAAATTTGGGCAAATTGTACAGCCTTGAAGGAGACTACCATGAGATCTAGAACTCTCCTAGAGAATCTAATTCTGAGATGTCTCTGATCTCCAATCTCAAACATGTGCTCTGAGAATAAAATTACCTTTACTAGGAGGAATGTCCCCACCAATATTAGACAAGGGGATATGTGGTTTCACAAACTCATTCCCATCTCTTATCTATATTGATGCTACTTTGTACTCTTAATATATCATATACTTTATTACATCTATATGTTTTGTAATGACAGTGTTTGTGATGTGGCACCCGTGGTCCTTGCACGTTAAATTGATGGCCTCATTTTTGGAGGAGACTCACCATGTAAAATAGTGAAACCTCTTCTTTTGATTATTTGTGGTGGTTATGAAAGTCATATACAGTGGGGCAAAAAAGTATTTAGTCACCAATTGTGCAAGTTCTCCCACTTAAGATGAGAGAGGCCTGTAACTGGCATCATAGGTAGACTTCAACTATGAGAGACAAAATAAGAAAAAAAATTCAGAAAATCACATTGGCTGATCTGGAAAGAATTTATTTGCAAATTATGGTGGAAAATAAGTATTTGGTCAATATCAAAAGTTCATCTCAATACTTTATTATATATCCTTTGTTGGCAATGACAGAGGTCAAACGTTTCCTGTAAGTCTTCACAAGGTTGGCACACACTGTTGCTGGTATGTTGGCCCATTCCTCCATGCAGATCTCCTCTAGAGCAGTGATGTTTTTGGGGCTGTCGCTGGGCAACACGGACTTTCAACTCCCTCCAAAGGTTTTCTATGGGGTTGGGATCTGGAGACTGGCTAGGCCACTCCAGGACCTTGAAATGCTTCTTACGAAGCCACTCCTTCGATGCCCGAGCGGTATGTTTGGGATCATTGTCATGTTGGAAGACCCAGCCACGTTTCATCTTCAATGCCCTTGCTGATGGAAGGAGGTTTGCACTCAAAATCTCACGATACATGGCCCCATTCATTGTCCTGTACATGGATCAGTCGTCCTGGTCCCTTTGCGGAGAAACAGCCCCAAAGCATGATGTTGCCACCCCAATGCTTCACAGTAGGTATGGTGTTCTTTGGATGTAACTCAGCATTCTCTCTCCTCCAAACACAACGAGTTGTGTTTCTACCAAACAGTTCTATTTTGGTTTCATCTGACCATATGACATTCTCCCAATCCTCTTCTGGATCATCCAAATGCTCTCTAGCAAACTTCAGATGGCCCGGAATGTACTGGCTTAAGCAGGGGGACACGTCTGGCACTGCAGGATCCGAGTCCCTGGCGGCGTGTGTTACTGATGGTAGCCTTTGTTACGTTGGTCCCAGCTCTCTGCAGGTCATTCACTAGGTCCCCCCGTGTGGTCCTGGGATTTTTACTCACCGTTCTTGTGATCATTTTGACCCCACAGGGTCAGATCTTGCGTGGAGCCCCAGATCGAGGGAGAATACCAGTGGTCTTGTATGTCTTCCATTTTCTAATTATTGCTCCCGCAGTTGATTTGTTCACACCAAGCTGCTTGCCTATTGCAGATTCAGTCTTCCCAGCCTGGTGCAGGTCTACAATTTTGTTTCTGGTGTCCTTCGACAGCTCTTTGATCTTTGCCATAGTGGAGTTTGGAGTGTGACTGTTTGAGGTTGTGGACAGGTGTCTTTTATACTGATAACAAGTTCAAACAGGTGCCATTGATACAGGTAATGAGTGCAGGACAGAGGAGCCTCTTAAAGAAGGTACAGGTCTGTGAGCCAGAAATCTTGCTTGTTTGTAGGCGACCAAATACTTATTTTCCACCATAATTTGCAAATAAATTCTTTCCAAATCAGCCAATGTGATTGTCTGGATTTTTTTTCTCATTTTGTCTCTCATAGTTGAGGTCTACCTATGATGCCAATTACAGGCCTCTCTCATCTAAGTGGGAGAACTTGCACAATTGGTGGGTGACCAAAAACGTTTTTGCCTCACTGTACCTTATATGGTCTGTTTCACCATTACACAATTATAAAGATATTTACTAACAATTGACCATTGATAATAATTACGGTTATAGAGTGGTATCCTATCCCTGAGGAAGAATTTGTGTTAATGCATTCAAAATGCGTTGGATCCCAGGCTAAATATATCTGCAGTCAAACTTTGAGGTGCAAGATGGAAATCAGCTTTGGAAGATACCACTGGATACATATCGCAATAACTATAATTTTGTTAAGTGAATGAGTTGATAAAATTGCTGGACTCTATATTGGTGAATATGCAATGTCTATCTTGTATGTGCTGATTTGCAAAACAAAAGAAATTAGTTTAAATAAAATGTTGAAATTTATTTTTTAAATTGGTTTCTTTCTGTATAATTCAAGGTTGCCTTAAAAAGCCCCCTAAATGCAAGATCTAATTCTCTTTACCTTTCCTGGAA